CCAATTCCAAGCAGTGAGAACATGTCATAGATGTATTGTCTGTAAAGCCTGGCACAGGAGTTGTTTTGGATGCTAGAAACCAGCTCACTGTTGCTTTCCAGCTGCTCTTGCTCCTGTTGTATCTGTCCACTGGAGACAGTCAGGACTCCGGCCCAAGACCCAAGTCTACTTGGTCCTGGGCTGGGCCCACCGACCGTGGGGTACCACTTTCTTTGCAGACAGGGTCTGGCTCCCTCAATTGATGCCCCTACCAATGGCACTGGTCTTACTGGGAGATCTGGCTCCTGGCATTGACCTGGGTATGTCCTGCTTTGCCAGTGTCCCTGGGGTGGGAGGTGTGGTCACCGGTACAGGATAAGACCAGGGAGTCAGGTAAGGGCATTCACTGAGGCCAGCAGATGAATGCCTGCTCCCAGTGAGGCCCCTTGGGTGGGTGGGAGGAAGAGACCCCTCTGTGTTGAGCAGTGTGCTGGTGCTTGTCATCACATCATCGCAATGTGAGAAGGGTATAAGGGGACCTGATTTTCTTTTTTTTTTTCACCCTCAAACTCCAAAATTCTGCATGTGTCTGTGGATAAGGTCTGTAACCTTTATGAGCCTTAGTGTGTGTATAAAGTGCTTTGTAAACTGAAAGGTACTGTGCAAATTTGGGGTAATAATTTCATGAACCACATTTATAATATGATGTGTTTTAGATATTAGTCAAAAGGATTCAAGTAAAGTAATAACATAAATGTAAGCTCATGGTTTGTGCAAGTAATTTAGTGGTGTTTATTCTGCTGTAATCAATATGGCTAGTGATTCATGATCATGAAGAACAAACGTTAGGGCTGTGATTTAGAGCAATGATTTCATGTTAGTTATCAGACTAACTGGGGAGGTTGAGAGCCATTGTGTCCTCCTGCCTGCCCTGAGCTTTGTGCTGTCATCCTTGTAAGGGTTTGTCTCTATAGCCCTCACACTTAGAACCAAACCACAGCAGGAGGCAAAACTAGTGAACCTAACAACAGACCAATACCATGGAGACAAAGTAAACCAAGGTTGGGTGTGGCCCCAAATTGGTTAAATGTTCTGGCATTTGCTGGTTAGCTATGAATCTGTTGTTCCTAGAATAAAATTAGACCATTTTATTTGTCTTTTTCGTTCTTTTCTCAGGAGTCTCTTATATTTTTTAGAAGTATTTTTAGATTTCGGACCTTTAATTGTCATTGAGAGGGCACAGAGGAAGACAAAATTATATCACAAGCCTGGCAACTTTTAAGAATGCCCAAGACAGACCTTTCACAAAACCTGAAGTACCCTCCCAGTACAGAGATTCTGGGCTTCAACGGTGACTTCCAGAAGGCAGTTCTGTATGTTTGCAGGTCATTAACTGCCTGGCAGTTTGGAAGTGACCAGATGTTCAGTCAACTTGTTAGAAGTGGCTGTCCATGAATCACTTTATAAAAAGGAGCAAACTGAGTTCTGATCATTGACCTCCTTAATTAAGGCCTTGTGCCCCGTGCTGCCATTGTCCGTAAGGACAGCCACCCTCTTCCTGAGTGCCGCCCTCGATGCTGCTCAGATTTTTCAAAGATGTTCTCAGGTTTCTTCTGTGAACCTTCCTAAGGATGGAAACCTGGGGCTTCTTGTCTAATTTTTTCATACTCTTACTTATGTGGTCTTAGTTTTGTCTTCTTCAAGGTAAAGGACTTGATATTATGCTGACAAGCCATCTTTTTAGAGCTTTGAGTACTAAAAAGAATGAAAATTTTGTGTACCTCCATGTTTTCCATTCTACAAAATGCCACCTTTCATAGCCACACCCCACACCTCAACTTCTGAGCAGACTTTCCCAGAGCAAAGTTTGTGGGTTTCAGTCTTCCATTCACCACCCTCATGACTGACCTTGCTGTTAGCCTAAAAAGTCTGAATCATAAGAGGGTTTCAAGGAGGGGCTCTAAACTTTATTGCTGGAGCCCTGGGATCCAAATAGCACCAAGAAAGATGTAATGAACATTCAACTTACAGTATAGACTTTTGTCCAAGAGCTAGAATAGCTCAGAGATTATCTACCTCACAGGATTGACTAGACAGAATGTAGTATCCTCCCATCTAGAAGTGTTAAGATGACAGTTTTCTTTAATATGCTACTATTTAGTGAAATCAGAAATCTGCAATTATTTTATTGTTGGTAGTATTCGTTCTTTTCTTTTCTTTTTTTTTTTTGAGTCAGTCTCACTTTGTCACCCAGTCTTGAGTACAGTGGCACGCTCACAGTCAACACAGCCTCGACCTGCTGGGCTCAGGCGATCCTTCCACCTATAGGCTTGCGCCACCATGCCTGGCTAGTTTTTTGATTTATTGTAGAGACAAGGACTCACCAAGTTGCCTAGGCTGGTCTCGAACCACTGGACTCAGGCAGTCCTCTCACCTCAGCTTCCCAAAGTGCTGGGATTACAGCCATTTTGTTCTTGAGACTAGGAATCGTCAGCTAGTTGCTCCTTACTCCATGAGTGTCATGGCATGGTCTACCTCTCTAGCACCTGTCTTCTGCAGCAAGCCCCTTCCCACAGTTTTTTCTTTTTTATAAGGGGAGATGGTAGGTTTGTTGTCTTCCTTGGGTTGCCCACAGTCCCGCTTGCTGCCTGGCTCATTCCAGTTCTTGGTCATCTTAGCCTGGTGCCCAACTTTCTTCCTGCTGTGGAAGGAGGTCTGGGCACCTTGAGAAGAGGCATCTATCATGGGGACTGTCAGCAAGGCAGGCGTTGGTTTGATTTTTACTGGACTTCCTGAATACCAGGCACCAGACTAGCAGGGCACGGGTCATCCTGACTGTGACCAGTGGGGTCCACATGTCAGGGCCTTGGGTCCTCCCCTTTACAGTGGGCACTGCCATTATCACTGGCACGTTTTTGATTAAACTTGAGACACAGGAGCTAAGCAACTTGCTCAAGATCCCATAGTGAGTGACAGAGCCAGGAACTGAACCAGATGGCTTAATTCCAGAATCCACTTTCTTAATTCCTTCCCTATATATACAGTTTTCAGAAGCTGGTAACTAGCAATTGACTGGCCACCTTTGGGTTAGGACAGTGCCCATTGTGCCACTTACAGGTATCTCCAGGGGCATTGCCTCAGGGACAGGCAGAGTGACTAAGCCCATCCCAGTGGCCTGCTCTGGGAGATGTGGTCACAGGGTTTGAGTGGATGAGTAGCTCTAGGATCTGCCTATCTGGATCAAAAGAGTCAAACTCAAGTCTCAGAAGAAGAAGGCTGTTTTACTAATTGGCTCTCCTTTTCATCAGTGAAGTTGTTACTACTGGTACACTTACCATTTCTTTCTATGATAATTCCACGAATCCCATAATTGCTTATGTAGAGCAGTTTAACATTTTCTCCAAATCACTGAACTTTATAGAATCAAGAATTGTTATGCCAACATTCTTAAAAAGTGTTATAGCGAGAAAACAACCTATTAAGAGGTAGGCATTTCACTGTCTTTAAAGCTGTTTCTGTGAACCTGAAATGCTGTCCATGGAAGCCTGGCCCTCTGTTCATCGTTAAGTTTAAACCCGGCCAGTTTCTCCTTCAGCGGCCCTCTAGAGCTTTGCTCAGTCCTTCGCCCCATTCCTCCCAAGTCAGGTCCTCCTGCCCCTCAGAGCCCACCTTCCAACAACCCCTTCCTTCCAAGCCCCTGCCCTGAAGCTGCTGCGTGGAGACCCCTTGTCCACAGAGGGAAGGGGCGTTCACTCGGGCCGCGCGCCACTTGTTACCAAGAGTTAGGTCGGTGGCAGAGAATGAGGAATTGGGAGACTATAAAATTTAAATGTGACCTTGTGGTCTTTCAAGACTCAGGAGCCGCCTTTGCAGGCGATTCTGCTGGAGATTCCCGTTTGGAGTGGGGAGGTGGCCTTTGAGAAGGGCCTGAGAAAACGCGTCCCTAGGCCGGCCTGAAGGGCCGTGACATTGACAGGTTGACCTGATGAAACTCGACGTCGTCCCGCCGCCTCTGCCCCCAGCCTGGCGAGGTCAGGAGCCGCTCCGCTGCTGTGCAGACTTATTTCAAATCACAAGGGGCGCGTGCTCGGTGTCTGGAGGAAGCGTGTGCCGGGAGTCGGCTACCGTCCCGGTGAGGGACCAGCTCCTCTCTGCGCCTCTCACGGTCCTCACGCCCGGAGTCTGGACCGTGCAGAGTCCGGGCTGTGAGACACCGGATCAGCGCCGAACGGCTCGCACCCTGGCCCTCAAGGCGGGTTCTCATCCCTGCGGGCCGCAGCACGGGGCCGTCCGCGCGCACCTTTGTCATCCTGGAGGCTGCTTCTTCTT